CGCGTGGAGCCTTACATGGTGATGCGTTACGTGCTGAGTAATTGGCCTTGGAGGAGGGTCTATTGTTTTGTTGGGAGGGTGGGTTTAGGAAGGTGACTTGTGAATGTGATTGCCTGGGAGCTGTTACGGTGTTTCACGATCGGCCAACGAACAGAGATTACCTGCACAAGCACTATGATGTTATTCATATTTTAATTTTTCCATCAATATATAATTAGGGATAAAATAGGAAAAATATATATACACAAATAACTAACTACCATCTTTAAAAAACAATAACTACTCTCTTTAAAAAATAATAACTATTTAATTTTGCCTTAGATTAATAAACTCACCAATTCATTCAATCCATCAATTTGGCAGGTTTAACACGTTACTCGATAGGTCAATCTTTTAATCTAATTATTTTTTATTTTATGCTTTTAAATGATAAATTTATAGTAAACTTATACTGGATCAATATTTTATTTTATAACTTTATTTTTCTTTCTAGATAATTATTCTAAAATAAATGGTATTTTTATTTAAGTTTATATATGTCTCACGATTCGCAAAACCTATAATTAATAGGCAAGTCTACAAGCTCAATAAAAAAATTCCTTTTTTTATACTAAGAAAATACGAGAGAAAAATACATAAAATATTATATAAAAATATAAACTTCAAACAATCTAAAATTTTTAAAAAATGAAAATTTAAACATATAAAGATTTATACATTTAAATCAAAGCATTAAAATATTAACATATCAAATTTGTATATTTAATCTAAAATATATTTATACATAAAAAAAATATAAAATATATTAAGGTAACAAAAGTACAATATATTTTAAATAAAAATATACTAAATTTAATACTTATTATTCATATTTATTTATTAACAAAATGCTAAAATTACTCATATTTTTAAATCCCTCATAAAGCTGGCAAAAAGAATATTTTTTTAAAACAAGTCAATCCATGAGATTTGTGGATTAAGTTTGCAAAATTGGGAACTTCGTGAACTATACTTAATTCCTCTTATAATTATGTAAATTTTTAAAACAAGTTCATTAATCGTGCAGGTTACAAGTTTCGCCGACCTAAATCCATATACTCACTCCTAAATATACTATTATAATGTCATGTTTATATAATAATAAATAAATAAACTTTTAATAATCAAAAGGTGAAAATCTTTTATTGTATTTGTTGTAAGGTGCAACTCTGTCATTTCATTTACAGGGATAGATTAAAAGAAAAAGCAATAGTCTAAAATAACATTTTTAAATTTCTAATACATTATAGATAATATTAAGGTACTTTATATTTTTGTGAATTATTTTTATAAATAATAAATAATAAAAATTATATAATAGTTAGTTTTTCATCTTTGGAATAAAAATTATATGAGAAGTTTGTTAGATATAGGTTAATTAAGTCGTTCTTTTTGTGAACTTTTGAATTGACGTAAATTGGATTAACTTTCTTAATTTATTTTTGTAAAATACTATATATATGTGTATATAGGTTAGAATATCTTTTGTACTCTTGTTAATTCTATTTTGCTTATAAAAAAAAGAAGTTAATTTTTCATCTATAACAATATATAAAAAAGATATCTCATTTTGGTATTCATTTTTCAAAGATATTAATACTTCTATATTATATTTTAATTTTTCCATCAATATATAATTAGGGATAAAATAGGAAAAATATATATACACAAATAACTAACTACCATCTTTAAAAAACAATAACTACTCTCTTTAAAAAATAATAACTATTTAATTTTGCCTTAGATTAATAAACTCACCAATTCATTCAATCCATCAATTTGGCAGGTTTAACACGTTACTCGATAGGTCAATCTTTTAATCTAATTATTTTTTATTTTATGCTTTTAAATGATAAATTTATAGTAAACTTATACTGGATCAATATTTTATTTTATAACTTTATTTTTCTTTCTAGATAATTATTCTTATTTTACATAAAATAGAAGTATATTATTTTGATCACATGACAATATCCTCATGCGGGTTGCTTGGGCTGTTACAGGAGTTATTTATCTTGTCCCATTAATATTACTATATGAGTTAACCTAACTTGTTTAAGTCTTGACCTATGAATAATTTCACATGTTTAACAGGTTAGATAAATCCAAACTATAAAATAAATGGTATTTTTATTTAAGTTTATATATGTCTCACGATTCGCAAAACCTATAATTAATAGGCAAGTCTACAAGCTCAATAAAAAAATTCCTTTTTTTATACTAAGAAAATACGAGAGAAAAATACATAAAATATTATATAAAAATATAAACTTCAAACAATCTAAAATTTTTAAAAAATGAAAATTTAAACATATAAAGATTTATACATTTAAATCAAAGCATTAAAATATTAACATATCAAATTTGTATATTTAATCTAAAATATATTTATACATAAAAAAAATATAAAATATATTAAGGTAACAAAAGTACAATATATTTTAAATAAAAATATACTAAATTTAATACTTATTATTCATATTTATTTATTAACAAAATGCTAAAATTACTCATATTTTTAAATCCCTCATAAAGCTGGCAAAAAGAATATTTTTTTAAAACAAGTCAATCCATGAGATTTGTGGATTAAGTTTGCAAAATTGGGAACTTCGTGAACTATACTTAATTCCTCTTATAATTATGTAAATTTTTAAAACAAGTTCATTAATCGTGCAGGTTACAAGTTTCGCCGACCTAAATCCATATACTCACTCCTAAATATACTATTATAATGTCATGTTTATATAATAATAAATAAATAAACTTTTAATAATCAAAAGGTGAAAATCTTTTATTGTATTTGTTGTAAGGTGCAACTCTGAACTCTTTCATTTCATTTACAGGGATAGATTAAAAGAAAAAGCAATAGTCTAAAATAACATTTTTAAATTTCTAATACATTATAGATAATATTAAGGTACTTTATATTTTTGTGAATTATTTTTATAAATAATAAATAATAAAAATTATATAATAGTTAGTTTTTCATCTTTGGAATAAAAATTATATGAGAAGTTTGTTAGATATAGGTTAATTAAGTCGTTCTTTTTGTGAACTTTTGAATTGACGTAAATTGGATTAACTTTCTTAATTTATTTTTGTAAAATACTATATATATGTGTATATAGGTTAGAATATCTTTTGTACTCTTGTTAATTCTATTTTGCTTATAAAAAAAAGAAGTTAATTTTTCATCTATAACAATATATAAAAAAGATATCTCATTTTGGTATTCATTTTTCAAAGATATTAATACTTCTATATTATATTTTAATTTTTCCATCAATATATAATTAGGGATAAAATAGGAAAAATATATATACACAAATAACTAACTACCATCTTTAAAAAACAATAACTACTCTCTTTAAAAAATAATAACTATTTAATTTTGCCTTAGATTAATAAACTCACCAATTCATTCAATCCATCAATTTGGCAGGTTTAACACGTTACTCGATAGGTCAATCTTTTAATCTAATTATTTTTTATTTTATGCTTTTAAATGATAAATTTATAGTAAACTTATACTGGATCAATATTTTATTTTATAACTTTATTTTTCTTTCTAGATAATTATTCTTATTTTACATAAAATAGAAGTATATTATTTTGATCACATATTTTTCATAAGTATATTTTTATGTATAATGTCATTTTTTTAATAAAAAATTATATTACTTAAACCGTTTGTATAAAAAAATATAATATCTCTAACCAATATTACAAATAATAATAAAATTTCATGTTGTGGTAATGTATATTAAAATATTTTGATTTCAATTGAGATTTTTAAAAAAATTGAATAAATTCAACTCATTTTTTTTAACTTACAAAATCAATAAATATCATTTATTTTGAAATACGAAAATTCAAGGAGAAAAAATGTTACTCCAGTTCATAATCATTAATTATGAAGACTAAAAAATCTAAAAATCTAAATATAATAGGCTAACTTTAATCAATTAGGTATTGATTTTAAAAATAAAATAAAATTAGCCAATGCAGAATCGAAACAAAATAAAACAAAACATTATTTTTATCCCGCCGAAATTGGACAACTTTCTTTTTTAGAAATAGTATCTCACTAAGTTTTAATATTTTTATTTTGATGTCGATGAACTTACTGTCATTTTGATGCAACTGCTTAGAAATTGTACTTTTATTTAAAGAAATGGGGGAAAATCTCATATATGTCAGGTATTCATGCTGATATTGCTGAAGCAAAATATAAATACTGGTCTATGTTCGCCCCGAATCCAGATGAAGTTGTATTAGCCGCAGGAGAGAAAGCTAAAGAGGAAACAGGTAACGTTAATTACTTCTGAATATTTTTTGTTTTGGTGGTTTACTTGTTATCTTTTTTTCTTTCCCTCGGTTACTTACGTATCTAACTCATGAAAAAAAGTTCGGGTGATTAACAATCCTCAGTTTTTGTGCTACCCGGTAGACCTGGATTTAGAGGATACAGAATATCAACGCGATCTGAAGGAACTTTCTGGAGAGGGAAATATTGAGAACATGCTTTTTGTCGAGCAAGGTTTGCGGCAATTGGCTTCACTAAAGGTTTCTATTATATCCTTATTTTTAAAAATGATGGCATGCACGTCCTTTATTGCTTCAAATGTTATGTTAGTACGTAGATACTAAAATCTCTTTTTCACTTTTAAATTCAAAGTTGGGAATTTAACGTGTGATACCTTTCTTCACAAGAATTTCTTCTTCCCGTCCTCATTCAATAAGATGTCAACGGGATAATTTTAGAAACGAACGAACAAACATCTGAAAGGGGTTTTAAAGTTTTGTTGGACATTTATCAATTAAATGGGTTGATGTTAAAATTTCTTCACTCTAAATATATTTACGTATCAGATATTGAAATTATAATTCTCTAGCAACTTCCAAAATGTGTTATTTTTCCTCTCGGCTCTCATATTTTGTTGGGAGCTGTCAACACGAGAACTTTTTAAAATACTAGTTTTTGCTACTTGAAAATATTTTGATTTGTTCCTAAAATTATGTCTTTATAATATGAAAGAAAGTTTTGAAAATCCCCTTTACTTTGAAATTTTCTCTCATTAGACATACCTATGCCAACGGGTCAGCCTTGTATAATCATCTAAAAAGAACCACTTATTTATTTATTTATTTCAAAGTAAGGTATTTCTGTTAGTCCTCAAACATCATTATGAATTCAGGGTTGGTTTTTTTTATAAGCTTTTGATGAGTAAAGAGAATTGCTTTCAATTTTGTTAGGCTATCAATCTCTTTAGCATCGTCAATCATCTCCGTCGATTTCAACTCTTGATATTTGCAAATATGACGAGTCAAAAACTAGAAGACAATTTAAGTTACAAGTTTGATAATAAATTGCATGACAAATATTAAGAACATGAAAAACATCGCGGAGAATTAATGAATTCAATATATAAATTGAGTCAACTACTCTAGCTATTGTAGAAAAAGAATCATGTACATCTTTTTATAATACTATTTTTATGGTTAACTTTGTCTTAGCAACATTGCACTTTAAAATTTAAAAACACAATAATATTACATATTTAATCTATATATTACAATCTTATTTTGACTCCATTGTTTTTTTCGTTTAAGTTATGATTGGATTTCTTCTTTATAATTATTTTAAAGGTAGAAGAAGCATTGGCAGTTGCATTGGCTCAACATAGGCGACCAAATTTATTGAAAGCAGGTTTTTCAGGTGCCAAGTTAAATAATATATCAACTAATTTTATAGGTTTTTAAGTTGAACGTCAAATTTAATCATCTTATTTGATATGGTATTCATTTGTCTATAATTTTCATTTAATTGCTTTTATTGTTGTTATATCTGCTTATGTCAAAAATATCTCATAAAAATAAAAAAGACATCAAATGGTATTCCAAAGTTGTTGTAGAAAAAGCATTATTCTTCGAAAAAAAAAAAGAATAATGCTTTTTCTACAACAACTTTGGAATACCATTTGATGTCTTTTTTATTTTTATGAGATATTTTTGACATAAGCAGATATAACAACAATAAAAGCAATTAAATGAAAATTATAGACAAATGAATACCATATCAAATAAGATGATTAAATTTGACGTTCAACTTAAAAACCTATAAAATTAGTTGATATATTATTTAACTTGGCACCTGAAAAACCTGCTTTCAATAAATTTGGTCGCCTATGTTGAGCCAATGCAACTGCCAATGCTTCTTCTACCTTTAAAATAATTATAAAGAAGAAATCCAATCATAACTTAAACGAAAAAAACAATGGAGTCAAAATAAGATTGTAATATATAGATTAAATATGTAATATTATTGTGTTTTTAAATTTTAAAGTGCAATGTTGCTAAGACAAAGTTAACCATAAAAATAGTATTATAAAAAGATGTACATGATTCTTTTTCTACAATAGCTAGAGTAGTTGACTCAATTTATATATTGAATTCATTAATTCTCCGCGATGTTTTTCATGTTCTTAATATTTGTCATGCAATTTATTATCAAACTTGTAACTTAAATTGTCTTCTAGTTTTTGACTCGTCATATTTGCAAATATCAAGAGTTGAAATCGACGGAGATGATTGACGATGCTAAAGAGATTGATAGCCTAACAAAATTGAAAGCAATTCTCTTTACTCATCAAAAGCTTATAAAAAAAACCAACCCTGAATTCATAATGATGTTTGAGGACTAACAGAAATACCTTACTTTGAAATAAATAAATAAATAAGTGGTTCTTTTTAGATGATTATACAAGGCTGACCCGTTGGCATAGGTATGTCTAATGAGAGAAAATTTCAAAGTAAAGGGGATTTTCAAAACTTTCTTTCATATTATAAAGACATAATTTTAGGAACAAATCAAAATATTTTCAAGTAGCAAAAACTAGTATTTTAAAAAGTTCTCGTGTTGACAGCTCCCAACAAAATATGAGAGCCGAGAGGAAAAATAACACATTTTGGAAGTTGCTAGAGAATTATAATTTCAATATCTGATACGTAAATATATTTAGAGTGAAGAAATTTTAACATCAACCCATTTAATTGATAAATGTCCAACAAAACTTTAAAACCCCTTTCAGATGTTTGTTCGTTCGTTTCTAAAATTATCCCGTTGACATCTTATTGAATGAGGACGGGAAGAAGAAATTCTTGTGAAGAAAGGTATCACACGTTAAATTCCCAACTTTGAATTTAAAAGTGAAAAAGAGATTTTAGTATCTACGTACTAACATAACATTTGAAGCAATAAAGGACGTGCATGCCATCATTTTTAAAAATAAGGATATAATAGAAACCTTTAGTGAAGCCAATTGCCGCAAACCTTGCTCGACAAAAAGCATGTTCTCAATATTTCCCTCTCCAGAAAGTTCCTTCAGATCGCGTTGATATTCTGTATCCTCTAAATCCAGGTCTACCGGGTAGCACAAAAACTGAGGATTGTTAATCACCCGAACTTTTTTTCATGAGTTAGATACGTAAGTAACCGAGGGAAAGAAAAAAAGATAACAAGTAAACCACCAAAACAAAAAATATTCAGAAGTAATTAACGTTACCTGTTTCCTCTTTAGCTTTCTCTCCTGCGGCTAATACAACTTCATCTGGATTCGGGGCGAACATAGACCAGTATTTATATTTTGCTTCAGCAATATCAGCATGAATACCTGACATATATGAGATTTTCCCCCATTTCTTTAAATAAAAGTACAATTTCTAAGCAGTTGCATCAAAATGACAGTAAGTTCATCGACATCAAAATAAAAATATTAAAACTTAGTGAGATACTATTTCTAAAAAAGAAAGTTGTCCAATTTCGGCGGGATAAAAATAATGTTTTGTTTTATTTTGTTTCGATTCTGCATTGGCTAATTTTATTTTATTTTTAAAATCAATACCTAATTGATTAAAGTTAGCCTATTATATTTAGATTTTTAGATTTTTTAGTCTTCATAATTAATGATTATGAACTGGAGTAACATTTTTTCTCCTTGAATTTTCGTATTTCAAAATAAATGATATTTTTATAACTAAAAATTGAAAAACTATCATATATATTAACTTAAACAAACAATTTTACATATAAAAGCATTATTATTTTTCAGAAGCTTTTTGAATACTACTTTCTTCACCTACCGTTTTAGAAACAAAAAATATTTTTTTTTGTTTGTTATTTTAATTTTAATTTCAATTAGAAAATAAGAATATTAATAATTTAAATTTTTTGTTTTATCTTTTGATATATCTACTAAATAATTGAGGTTCGGAGACAACTTATTTATTAAAATTAGTCGCCTATTTTTCAAAAACTCTTGAAATAAACTAATAAAAATTAAAAAGTTATTTTTCAAACTAAGTTGAGCCAATTGTATACCAAAAATAAAATAATATTTTTGAGTAAACCCAGGGTATTTTACAATTATTAATATGAGATACTATTTCTAAAAAAGAAAGTTGTCCAATTTCGGCGGGATAAAAATAATGTTTTGTTTTATTTTGTTTCGATTCTGCATTGGCTAATTTTATTTTATTTTTAAAATCAATACCTAATTGATTAAAGTTAGCCTATTATATTTAGATTTTTAGATTTTTTAGTCTTCATAATTAATGATTATGAACTGGAGTAACATTTTTTCTCCTTGAATTTTCGTATTTCAAAATAAATGATATTTTTATAACTAAAAATTGAAAAACTATCATATATATTAACTTAAACAAACAATTTTACATATAAAAGCATTATTATTTTTCAGAAGCTTTTTGAATACTACTTTCTTCACCTACCGTTTTAGAAACAAAAAATATTTTTTTTTGTTTGTTATTTTAATTTTAATTTCAATTAGAAAATAAGAATATTAATAATTTAAATTTTTTGTTTTATCTTTTGATATATCTACTAAATAATTGAGGTTCGGAGACAACTTATTTATTAAAATTAGTCGCCTATTTTTCAAAAACTCTTGAAATAAACTAATAAAAATTAAAAAGTTATTTTTCAAACTAAGTTGAGCCAATTGTATACCAAAAATAAAATAATATTTTTGAGTAAACCCAGGGTATTTTACAATTATTAATAAATAACTTTAAATATTCTAATAAATAATATTAAATTGTATTTTCTTATAACTAAGATTTCTGAAAAAAAAAAAAAAAAAAAGAAGAATTTGCTGTGTTTGAAATTAATGTGTATTATCATTTCAACTTTTCTTTTTGAAATTACAAAATTTATTTCTAAATCCATGGTGACGAGGTCCACTTATTTGAAAAAATATCATTGGCATTTTCCCTCGTCTTTGATTGTTTTTAATAAAATATCGCTAATTGAAAAAAATACAGACATATTGCTCATATGTGTTTTATTAGTCAGCAATGGTACCATAATTAAAGATAAGTCGAGTTCGTTAAAAAACACGTGTAAGAGGAACAATTTCATTATTCCGGGAAAAAAATTACTGCTTAAATTTGTTAGGAAATTAATATTTTGACGAATTTTGTTTTGACTAAATCTCTAAGTTTAGGCAAAGTTACATTAGAACATTTATAATAGGAGTTATCTACGAGTAATTCTCATTCACTTTAAATGAGTTTCAATGTGTCATATCACTCATAACCAATTCATATTATATTTATACAATTTTTGTTTTAATGAGAGTTATTTATAAACACTTCCACTTTTTAACAATTCATACTATATTTTTTAACAATTCATACCACATTTTTTGATTAATTTAAACAAAATTAATTATTATGGAAAGAACGTATCTTGAAAAACAAATCAAACCTCTCTACAAATAACATATCTTGGAGAAGGTACGTATCTTAATTTTTAGCAATTTTTATTGTTGTCACTCCATTCCAATGAAAGTTTGTAATAAGGGGCATGCTTAACTTTTACGAACTACATAAACATCTTTGCTGGAGGTGCTCTTAGGTGACTATTTGATGCATGAAAATTTTCACAGCAAAACCATTTCCTTGAGAATGAATTTCGCAAAAATAAGATATCTAAAAGAGTTTGTAAAATTTGTTTAGTTATTATTTCATTTTTTATGAATAATCTATTTATAATTAGTTTAAATGAAAAAAATTAATTACTTTATAATAAATAAATATGAAAATTTTCATTTTCATTTGTATTGGTAGGAAAATTGGTTTTATTTATTTATTTACAAATTAATATTTTCATAATTTGTTTATGTCTAGACAATAGTTTTATTGTCTTCAAACATGAAAAAAAAAACAGTTGAATTTCAATACATATATAATTTATTATGCATATACTTCTTAATTTTCTCATCAACCACTATAACTCGCTTTACCTTCTAAAATGAGTTGTTTATTTTAGATAAACCACAACCATCGAGACTTTAAACAAATCCAAAACAAAAGTAAATCAATGTACCAAAAAAAAAAAAAAAAAAGCAAATCACACAATTAACGTTATATATATATATAGATAGATAGATACTGGATTGACGGTATATTTTAACAACTAATAAGATCACCTTACCATGTTGAAAGCATAAACCCCAGTACCGAGCTAGCCAACACCTCTTTAAAACAACCTCTTCCTAAGAGACAAGCGGAAAGTATCATTAATTATGATTATTTAAATGAAAACTTTATGCTTAAAATTAATTATTAAACCCTAACCATTTCTTCCGGGGTAAGTATCATTCGTTGAGTCATAAGCTGTAGCTTTTCCAAAGCAGAAGCCGTCTCCTCCCTTGCAGTCTGATACAAAATATGAGAAATTTAAATTGAACTCCATAAACATAATTTTTTCCATGCATTAAAAAATTGCATAATTTGAAAACAGAACTATGAAACGTACAAGGTAAAATGCTGGATACCTCAGCATCCGCCTGAAGCGTTGCTTGAAAGCCTCCATGATTCTTTGATGCATTTCTTAAAGCAGCCTGAAAATGGAAATTTAGGTCATTCTACAAACGTTAATAATAAAATAAAATAAAACTAGGATCAGATTGACTATACTATATTAAAATTGATACCAAGAGAAGTGTTTGTAACACACTTCTCTGAACATTATTTATTAAAGGCCATAAATCCTACACATTGATCGTAAATTCTAAATAACATAGTTAATATAATTTATTAAAAATAATACATTAACTCTAAACTATGACTATACATGTTTCTTTGATTAATTAATTTGCCAGTAATAGATGCACAACTACGAGGCCTATTCCCAGCGGTAGAGACTTGCATAAAGAATACGAGAAAGAGGGTTAGCTAGGTAAACGAAAAGAAGATAAACCTCTCTTTGCTGCAGTGCTGCCTCTTTTCTGAAGAACAAAACAAACAAGTATCAGAATACTAAAAAGATTTAGGGAAGAAACAGAACTTACCTATAGCTAGTCAGTCTCTCATGTTGTTAATGTTATCTAATTTTTCTGCCGCGGTAGATAATTTTCTTGGAAAAAAATCAGAGATCAAATTGTAGATGGGTTTTCTTCAAAATTTAAATGCATGCATTGAAATAGATTCAACAAATTAAGTTAAATCTATGAAAAGAATCACAAAATAAATAAAATGATTAATGGACAGAAAAGAAAATTTAGAAAATTATAAGTGGACAACAATGTTCTTATTTTAAACCATATATAAATAGTAAAGCGAAGTGACATTTAATCCAAACCCCAAGTGTTGAAAGGGATCAAGATACTCTCATGTTTGTTTTGATTGAGAAAAGATACCAACAACTATGAGATCCATCAATTTGAGTAGGGTCCACTAATTTTGCTTAATTCTCCTTTTCTCTCATGGGATGATCATGGTACTCGCTATATCATGGGAAGAACCAACTTTATGTTGAATGTGTCATTTGTCTGGATCATTTTTGGCTTATTTGAGTAAAATGTTTTTAAAAGGGAGAATAAAATAAGAATTAAAAAATGAAATCAGTTTTTTTTTAAATTTAAATTAATTTATGTATATACTAATTTACAGAAGTTTTCTAATATTAATTTTTTTAAAAAAAATATTTTTAATTTATGAAAAAAAAATTCTTCTTTTTTATAATTATTTTTAGAAAAGTTTATCTAAACACAGTCTTTACTTTTATACCAACTAATCTCATTGCTAAACTTGCCTGGTTAAAAGACGAGCTTCCAAAGTTACACCTTCTCCGAGAGCAGCAACCTATAAGAAAGTATATGAAAAATAATGGATAATTAGTAGACATATATAGATCCTCACTGACCAGTTATACCATACAATGAGAGAGAAAGAAACTCGAGATAGTAGGTAATGCCGATGTGAGAGTCTTTCCTTACCAATGGTAATTTATCCGATCATGCAATTCAAATATTTGGAATGGTATGCCAACCTAAAAAAAAAAGTTTAATTCTAATATGATAATGGTGTATAAGTATTTTGTACAATTACCTTGATAACAATGACATGTGTTTGTATAGAACTTTTACTTCTTTTTTTTTTTATCTGATATATTTTCTTTTGGTTTCTCATAAGCATATTTCTTCGGAGATCGAAGATAATTATGTTTAGGTACGACCTGATATTAAAAATGGATACCTTTTTCGGCTGATATTTTTTCACTTTTTTTATTCTCTATTTTCTTTCCGTTTCATCTAAATAATCATATTTTCTTTTTGTAATTAAATTTATTTTCATGTTATTCTTTAATGAGTTCAATAATACACGAGATATGAAATTTAATATATGAAGTGACAGCATGATATTAGATGTCAATATAAAATTACAATAATCATGCATTCAAAAGTCAAAATATATACTAAAATCATTTATCAAAAGATTATGAACATCGGAAGTGGACGCGGCCAAAGTACTAATAACAATATAATTTTAAATCTAATTCTTTTTTGCTTATTCTTCTAATAATATAATGTTGATTTTTGTATTATATCATTTTTAATAAAAAAATAATTATAAAATTAATTTTATAAAATTATTATTCTTTTTCATCCATTTATTAACAATTTTTTATTTGTCTAAAATGACTTAGAATAACACTTATTATAGAATAGATAAAATAACAATTATACTTTAAATATTATCAAACATGTTGGACAAAAAAAAAAAAAAAAACTTTACCAAAAAAAACATGTTGGACAAATTTCATTTTTCTTCGTTCTGTTATAAAAAAGTAGCAAATAACACATTTCCTAAATCATATTTCCTTCATCAAAATAACCGTAATTATGGTAGCTAAATTTGTTCCCTAACATTTGATTACATGTCCCCGGATGTTATCAACATCACATGTATGCTTGTGCACTAGACGCTTTTTTTCCCCTTTCTGGGGGAAGCAATGGTACTAACGGCTTACTAGTGCACAAGAGCAATAAACAAATAAATAATTGCAGAAGAAAGATGGACGCTTTGGCAGATCCCTCAAATGTATTACCTGTTGTTCTAGTTGCCTAACTCTTGATTCAGTTTCCTCACACTTGTCTTCTGCAAGTCGAAGCTGTGGAAACACACATAACAATGGTGCGCCAAAATCAATTTTCATAATGGAAAACTTGATATTATCAGCCTTCAGCCGTATTGTTATTTATTAAAGACAGCAGCAATATTCATATGACTGTGGCAAGTTAGCTACATCTAATCTAGCCCAAAATTATATCTGAATCTAGAAAGAAGCTAATGTATCAATATAAAAAATATGAACTGAACGTTCCAATAGATGAAATCAAGAAAACTGATGTAACACACGAGTCTTTCTTCTACAATGTTAAAATAATGCAGCTAGAGTCTCAAAATTTGAATGTCTATGAGGAAAACATAATAATGAAACTAATGTATTTTATCACCTTTTCAACCAAATTGTCGTTCTCTTCTTGTAACATATCAAGCTGCATTAAAATTCACATCTCATTAGTAGATTCCTGAAAATAGACAGCAGCCATGCCTGGCTGAGGAAGTTGAAGATTAAGAAATGCAGGTGAAGAAAAGTTAGAAGGTGGTTGGAAGGGCGGAAGGAACAAGTAGAAATACAGAGCGGGTAGCTTGTTTAGTGACCCTGAAATGAATCATCTATGAAAGAAAGACTTCAAAGGCATGAACATAATTAAATCTAGTGTCCAAAATGGACCCATGTAATACCTCATCCTCAAGCTCACTAGTTGGACGCTGCTGCTGATTGGCATTTTCCCTTACCTTCATACTACTCAGATCAAGTGACAACCTACATGGTCATAAAAAGCACACAGCATTACATAGATGATATGCGTTATAGAGTAAATTTTGGATTTCAAAGTCACCCCTTATTTCATTAATGGCACGCATTTTGAACCTATGATTAGAAATTTGTGTGATACGCATGATATTACTTATCTGATTTTTTTCTTTTATAATTAAAAATCACACGTAGGTCTTACTAAATAGTAGTGTATAACATGAAATTTCCTGCTTTCAAAAAAAATAAAAATGAATTTTACTAAGATAGCTCTATATTAGTGTGGCTAACATGAAATTTTACCCAATGAACGTAAAAAAGAGTGTAAGAAACGCGAGATAACATTTCTCCAATGCATTTATTGGAATTAAAATGAGTAAATTGATGGGAAAAAAAACTCTTCCACGCACAATATAATATTCATACCTAAAGATTTCAAATAGAATGTACACTAAGATTTTATTTTCCAACTCTATACATAAAACTAAACTATAATGCAAAATACAAATGTATCATCATCATAATGAATGATAAAAAAAAATCACCATCCTAATTAAAAAAGAAAAAGAAAATAGATCTCTAAAAATAACCGATCCTCTTTATTTTTCATTCACTCCATGTATTTTAAAATTTTTATAACATAAATAAACGTACTACTTAAATGTAGAAAATAACCAAGAAGAGGATCATGTGATGATAATCCAGTGTCTTATTATTGTTTCTTGGAAAGGAAATACAAAAGCAAACATACCTTCTGTCTTTTCTAATATCAAGTAGAGGCTCAGTGGGAGGAATACCACCAGAGGAGGCTGGTCTGAGTGTGATAGGTACACTAGGCGGCACCATGGGAACCACCTTAGAAAGCCCAGAGGGACGGCCCGAGGTTGAGCGAGCAGAGGGAGGTTGATCACTGTTCGCACTGCTGGGTTGAGGCGTCCGAGTCGATATCATAGTGCGAGCGGAGGGAGACGAGTCCAGTGTTCGGGTTGCTGGTGTTGAACGAGCAGAAGGTGGTTGTTGTTCCGCTTGGTTCCCAATCGTGGGTGTTCGAGGTGGTGGTTGCTCGACAGCATTTGAAGAGGCAGATGATCGAACACTCGATATGCCTCTCACAGATTGGGGCTGTTCTTGAGCGGTGCGAATTGACTGATACAAATTAACAAAATCAAAGTTTCATCAACTTGTTGCAATTAGAACATGTTTATGAAAATTTAATTTCCCCCATATTAGCTTTTTGTTTTAAATACTCACACTTGATCTATGAAATTTTACGAATTCCTTATACATGTTATTTTTATTTTCTTTTAAAATATGTTAAAAGCACTTAAAAGGAAAGTTTATAAAATTATATAAATAAAAAAAATTAAAATTATATATAAGGACTAAGTTTTTTTTTTTTTTTGTCTTCTTAAAAATAAAATAAAATATTTAAAATTTGAATTTAATATATTTTTTTTTCATAAAATTGATTCTACTGTATAAAAACTATTTTTTTATTAAAAATAAATAAATATCTTAAAATTATTTTTCAATAAATTCAACTAAACAAAAATTCATTCTAAATATAATCTATTATAAAAATAATCAATTACATATATAATTAATTATTACAATAATATATTTTTGTTATAACTTTATCAATTACATTCTTAATATCATTCAAGGTTAATAATCTATAAATCTAAGAGAAATTCTATCATACATAAAAAAATTAAGCGTCCTTTGATTAAATGGAGAGGAGATAGAAAAATTTAAAAATTTTATTTGATTGAAAAAATGGGAGGTAATTCTTTTCTTATATAATTCAGAAAAAAGAAATTTTAAAAATTAATTTACCTTTATTTTGTTATAATTTAAAATTTAAAAAAAATATTTTAAATATTAAATAATAAATGTCTCAAAACTAGAATTGGAGAATTGGAAGGGAGCTAAAATTAGGTTAGGGATTTTACTTCCCTCTCCTCTTAAAATTGGAATCAAACGATACAAATTTAAAAAACTTTTCTCCAACAAAATATAATGTAAAGGATATTGGTACACCGAAAAACTTTCTCTCTTTCTCTTTTGTTTAACATATGTATGTAACTCGTTCTACGTACCAAAAACTCTATATTTATTTTAGGTTCATAACAATTTTTTAATTGGAATGAAGTTTTTTTGTTTTTCTCTCTCTCAATATAGAAACTCAGTTAACTACTGATTCAGAAAAACAAAAGTATCAACACCTTATATTTTTTTAAGTCCTATAACTCCCTAAATTTACTTAGAATGAACGAATAATATAATGGTATTTTAACTATTTTTCACACTCTTATCCACTTATAAATTGGGTTGTACACTCTTTATTTTAAGTAAGATTTATTAAAAATTATAAAATCATATATGAATTACATTAAATTAAAAAATTCAAAATAATACAATTTTTGTAGCCGGAAAAAGTTATGTCTGCGCAAATTAATCTTTATTACCTAAATTATGGACATTACCTAAATTATGTTTATGAATTTATTTATTTATTTATTTTTGTTTTTTTAAATAATTTTAATGAATCTTAAATAATAATTAAGAATATATTAAGAAGTTATATTGGTATCATTTTCCTTGGAAGTTATATGTATGACCAGATTATTCATTTTTTAATAATTATTTTAAAGTATAAATATTTCAGAAAGAGAGGGTGTGAAAATTAAATTAAAACACTAAAAAGTATATATATCTATGCAAAAATAGAAGCTAGTTACCGCTGGCGCTGGGGAACGCGATCTAGCAGATGGTGATTGTTCTTGCACGGAGCGAACTGACTAATAGAAACAAAATCAAACGTATTCACCAACTTGTTATTCCAATTAAGCAGCATTTAGCACGAATATATACATAATACATCATTGCAACGAAAAATCGAATTACCGCGGGGGAACGTGATCTCGCAGATGGAGGTTGATCTTGAGCAGCGCGAACTGGCTAAGAGAAATAACACGGAACAAATTTTCAAACAAAGCACTGCAATCGACTGATAATTCAAATGCCGCGAAGCGAAATGACTTAATTACCATCGGTGACCGCGACCTCGCAGATACCGCTGGATCCGGAACGCTCCGAACTGCCTAATAGAACAGCAACAACGTGGAATTCGAAGCACGTTCAAAAGGAATCAATAAACACAATATTAAGCAATCAAAACGGTTGAATGAGTAGTTAGTTAAGTTACCACAGGAGAGCGAGATGGCCTTGGTCTTCCACCGCCGAGGCCAATGCCTCCGGAGCCGGTGATGGAGGAATAGTCGAGAGGAACGTCGTCGTCGTCGTCATCCTCGTCCTCGGTTTGCGACATGACCTGTGCGAGCCTCTGCGCGGCGGCTTTGGTGGCGTTGTTCTGCGCTCTCCGGACGTTGGCCATGGCGGAGCCGGTGGAGCCTGCACGCGAGTGGCGGTGCAGCGGCGACACCATATTCACCGGCGAGGACGGCGTGGTCGGCGTCCCCGAAGAGCTGTTCTGCCTATCGTACATTTTCCGCCGATCCATCTAGAAAACCGAAAAAAAAATAAAAAATGAAACGTTATTGAAAATAACAAAGCCGTTGAAAAAGTTATGGTGAAACTTGCTTTGGCTGTGAGTGGTTGAATCGAAGGAGGAGGTTATATGAGAAGAGGAAGAATGGAGAAAAAAATGGTTGATGGATCTGTTAGGCGTAAGGCATAATGATTGGGAGTTAGAGGCATAATGTTGTTGTTGGAAGAGACAGAAAAGTAAAAGGAGAGAGTGGAAGAAGCGTGTTGGAGTGGCGTCCTGCTATTGTGGAGGGACTTGAGGATCCATTCGTTAGAGGTTGGGAGCTGTGACGTCGATGCAACTGCTTCCATTTTGTAACGGTCTCCGAACTTCCTGTAACGAAAATTTTTATGTTTTTCTATTACTCCTTTAGACAATAAATAAATAAATCTCACAATATAAGAGATAGGGGATAAAATGTAAGAAAGATTGTAAGATAAGGTAATTGGACAAACGAAGATATGAATAAAAAAGTTTGTCTCAAAAAATTATCTTCAAAATTGTAACATTTATTCTGATATATGGATAATCTCTATTATCTATATTATATATAGCTAAAAGCATATCTCTTTTATTAATTACCTTATTAGATAGATTGTTATATTTTTTATTATTAAAAATAATTTTAAAAAATTAATATCTTTTATCAAATTTAAGATTTAAATTTAAAATCTTAATATTTGATGATCAATTACAACATTAATTCAATTATTTTATTTTTATTTTTGTTTTATTTTTAATAGAAATATAAAGTGTTTTAATCTCATTATTCAATAATAATATAACTTTTGTTATTAATAGGATCATAAGGAGCATTACCAAATTATAGTCAAATGAGTTTCGAACTATATGTAATAAAAGATAGAGTTTTTTTTATTGTTATAAAATAAATAATATAATATTAATGTAGTTATTATTTAAAATATTTTTATATAATATTATAATATAATTTTTGCATATTATTAAAATATATAATACTTCATTAATAAACAATGTTATACTACATTGGTAGTATAACACCAGTGATGTATTAGAAAAAATAAGAAAATTAGTTAATAAAAAAGTGATTCTATTTATTATATAAAAATATTAAATAATAAATTATATAAATTATTTACAATAAATTTAGTTATTTTGATTGGAAATTATGTTTATTAATTTTAAACTAAATTTAATATTAAATAAGAATTAGAAAACAGTTAATTATATATATATATATAATACAGTATTTATTTGATAACTCAATATAATATATAATATATAAAATAATGAAGTTTCTAATAAGGATAATCGCTTTTAATACTTATGAAATCACTTTTTAACATTTTTATTAATTTATGTTTCTTTTACAGGTTATTGTCACGTCAATTAATAGATAAAAATTAAAGGATAATATTAATATTTATAATCATATAAAAATGTTAGCATGACAATAAGTTTCTCAAAAATTAACGTAGAAAATTATATATATATATATATATATATATTCAACATAAACATAGTTTTTAACTAAAAATTAAAGATTAAGACACTAGAAATCTATTTAAGGAATTGATATATCTAAATTATTTTTTTATGTATATTTACTAGAGAGTAAACTCATAATTACATGTTAAAAAGAGAAGGTAACCTACTATGTTGGTAAAAATCTTGAATTATATTAAGTTTAAATATATTTTTTATTTGCAATAAAAAATTATCTTTTTAATCTTTATAATTTTATCAACTTTACATTTTAGTCTCCGTAATTAAGAATATTCAGTTTTTTAGTTCTTTTGCATATAATTTTTTTATTCTCTTTAGTTTTTATAGTTATATAAATTTTCTCTTTTAGTCCCTATAAAAATAAAGAATTAAAATAAAATAAAATAAAAATAACATGTATAAAAATAAAATAAAACATTTTTTACTATAAATACTAAAAGATAAAAGGTAAAAATTATGAATCTATATGAATAAACAAATAATTAAGCAATAATATAATAATCAAAAGTGAAATCTAATCATAAAATAATGAAAAATATTAACTAATATACTGTTCAAATTATACATTTTATCACATTATATTCATTCTACTTACATTAGAGAAAGTGAGACACTTCATGTCTCGTAATAAAAAAAAATAATGAAATTAAGAAAACTTACAGTTAATTTTAAAATAATGAGGTGGTTAAATAAATTAATTTAAGGATAAAAGAATAAAAATATATATATGAACATTAAAATAAAATATGCTTTTTATTAATTTTATAAATTATAGATATATTATTTCCATTTCATTTATAGATTATAGATATATAATTTTCATTTCATTTAAAAGTAGATTGATAGAGCACCTTCATTGGAGGGTGTTTATTGAGTTGCTTATTCTTAAGTAACGGTGCTTACAATTTTTTTTTATTGGAGTGATCTTATATGACAATTCAGTTACTTAAAATTTTTTCTCTGTTACTTCTACAAGCAAAGGTGCTTAAAACTAAGAAGAGAAATTTAATTGGTTGAATTGGATCTCCATGAAATATGATTGATAGAGCACCTTCATTGGAGGGTGTTTATTGAGTTGCTTATTCTTAAGTAACGGTGCTTACAATTTTTTTTTATTGGAGTGATCTTATATGACAATTCAGTTACTTAAAATTTTTTCTCTGTTACTTCTACAAGCAAAGGTGCTTAAAACTAAGAAGAGAAATTTAATTGGTTGAATTGGATCTCCATGAAATATGAATCAAATTTATCAAAAAAAAAAAAAAAAAAAAAAACATCATTCACCTCATCTTCTTCCGTCCGAGGAAGGTTGCCGCCGCCGACCCGTGTCCCCGGTCGCTGGTCGCGCGTCGCCGGTCTAGCATTTATTTTTAACATACTTATTGATTTAACCCTGTAACTCTAAAATAGTATTTTTATATAAACTTTAAGATAACTATTATGAAAATATAAAAAAAATTTTAAAAAAAAAAAAAAAAAAAAAAAAAAACATCATTCACCTCATCTTCTTCCGTCCGAGGAAGGTTGCCGACGCCGACCCGTGTCCCCGGTCGCTGGTCGCGCGTCGCCGGTCTAGCATTTATTTTTAACATACTTATTGATTTAACCCTGTAACTCTAAAATAGTATTTTTATATAAACTTTAAGATAACTATTATGAAAATTAAATAACACGTGTCTTTTAATTAAATTTTAAAAATAAATTTAATGTAATAACCAAATAAAAATGAAGAAAAGATAGGTAGGGATTGAACGGTGACGATGGAATTAAGAGGGGCAAGTAGTTCCACCAGCATGTCGAAATCAGAGCACTAGGGTTTCGGTTCTCCCTGCAATTGGCCCCTTCAAATGCACCAGCTTGGAAGATGGTTCCAGAGTCAGTGATAAGGCAAGGTTGGGATTCAGATAGTTCAGGCGAGGGAATGTACGATTGGGTATTGAAATGTCACGGGTTCTGGCACAATGCCACTTTGATCATCCCCTCCTTCCTTTTCGTCTTCTACCTCGCACTGCAAGCCAGGCACACCTTTCTCAAACTCTCCCTTGCCCGCAGCTCCCGCATCATCATTTCGTATAACGCTGCACTCTGCTTCGTCACCATGCTCAATCTCGCCTGGTGCCTTTTCCAGGTCAATTTCTTCTCCTTTACTCACTGCTACCATAGTCAATTACCAGCCATCAAACTTTTTCGTAGCAAGGGTTTCTTTTTTTAATCTTTTTTTTTTTTATATCACTTATTTGTAGTTGTGTTAAAATAATGCTTCCTCAAATACTCTAAATTAGTAATTGTTTGATAATTTTAATAGGAAAAAACCCCTCATGTATGGATAAATAAATTATCAATAAACATATATAGAAAAAGTATTAAAAATAAAAATTGTTTTTTTATGAATTAAAATTAATTTATGTGTAAGTCATATTTTGGGGAAATCAAATGATTTAATGCATACATTAATTTTAATTTAGAAAAGAATTATAATTTCATTTTATTTTTTCTTTAATAAATGTTTATAATAAAAACAGAAGTACACAGACAATTTTTTTGAAAAATTAAATAACTTTAGGCATAAATTAATTTTAACTTATAAAAATATTTAATTCATTTTATTCTTTTATTTTCTTCCAAGTATTTATTGAGAAATTAAGACAAGACCTTGTTACTATTTTCATTGGGTTTTAATTTTTCCGATGCCCATTTCTAGTTCACTAGGATTTTCTATGCCTTGACTTTAGACAAATAAATATATGCTTTATTTGATGCTCGGTGATGAAGGCATGGGAGTGCACGTCAGGGAGAGAACTGGAATGGAACTTGTTGTCCTTGTTTACTAGTTCCGGAATGCTGTTTTTGGAAGTGAGCTTGCTGGCTTTTTTACTTCAAGGAAATAATGCAGGTGGTTTGGAAGCAATGAGACGAACTTTTGGCATCTCAACGCTCCTTGTTGGTTTGGATATACTGTTGAAGGTATTTCTTTGTTTTAAACTACAACTACAAGTCTGCTTCTCCTTATTTGAACTTAGTTATCATAACGTCACCAATATCACTGCTCTCTCAGTAGCCAAATTATCTTGTTTTTCCATGCCAAATATTAGTATGTGGGATGAATATGGATTTATGCTTAGCCAATGGAAAGGTGACTGCGGGGTTCAATTTTCTTTTGGGACCTTTTCTTTGTTAGGCTATGTATCTATTTGTATTTGGGATCCCATTATTCGTCGACACCAATGAACATACCCACCATGTGAAGTGGAACTTGTGGGTTGTCCACAGGCTGTTGCTCACTGCTGTTTATGGCTTCATAATGTTAATGTACCATTCCGGATGGAGAGAAACGTTGCCTGGTAAGTTAATAATTGACGGGATAGTGAAAGGGTGTTTCAACTTGGTGTCTAATTGCCTAATTTTCAATTTCTTTTCATGCAGCAAAATTTGCATTTTATAAGTATGTTGCTATTATGTTCATTTTGAATGCGATTGCGACGCTTGCTTGTGGCCTTACTGGAAATGGTGCTGCTTTTGGTTTCTGGTAAGATTCTTAAACAACTGAGAACATGACATCCAATTTGAGCTGTTTTTCCTTGGCATCTTTCTCTGAAGCTTTGTTTACTTTTTGTTCACAGGTTGTATCGTGTCACAGTTGTCTTTTACCATGCATTTTATCTTCCCTTGTTGTATATAACATTCCTGGCAGACTTTTTTCAGGTTGGAGTTGTTTATTTTTTCAGAACCCTTTACTACTGCTTAAAGATAGCTTTCTTTTTACGGCTCTAACATTATATTATCGCGTGGGAATTTCAGGAGGAAAATTTTCATTTGGAAAGTGTGTATTATTCCGAGATGAAAGATGCGGGTTTCTTCGATACTGATTGGGAATGATCTATCAGCTGTAAAATAAACACTGGCTCAATGTACTCGTCGCAGGGCATCGGATCAAGACATATTATGTAAATTTAGTAATTGCGACAGCAGATCGCATTAATATATATAAACTGATGCTTATCTGTAAGCATCTCATATGTTCTGTTATTTAATACTTAATAGACACGGAGTTCTCATCTACTTGGTAATATTCAGGTTCCTTCCGAATTTTTAGCAATAGTCTATAATATTAACGAAAAAATTAGACTGAATTAAATTAACTTACATAAAATAGCAATGGCATCTCTGATAAAATTAACATATCACTGACATAAACCCCTTAATGCAAAAAAGGACTTGATGTAATTTCCAGAAACAAAAGGCCAGGCTAATTTGTTTTCCTTCTTGGACTTTTATCAGGCAACAAGTCTTTCGCAATTAAAACACTCGATACTCAAAATTGCCCCACACCATAAATATTGATAGGTATGGAGATTATGAGTTCATGTTTACACAAACCTTCTGGTACATTTTTACTCTAAGAACTCTTCTTCAGAACGATTTCTTCAATAAGATCTGCAGCATCCTGAACTGTAGTGATGGCCTGGGCGCTTTCCTCTTCAATGGCGATACCAAATTGTTCCTCAAGGGCCATCACAATCTCAACCTACAAGGCATGGCATTTAAACGAAATCCATATGTAAGATAGTAGATATAGGAAAAGAACATTAAACTGTTACAATGTCAAGTGTTGGCATGATGTTTCTAATTACCGTGTCAAGGGAATCAGCTCCAAGAGTTGCAAATTTTGACTCCGCGGACACAGTCTGACCTTCAGGCACAGCCAGCTGCTTCTTTACTATGTCGCAAACCTTCTCTACTGTCTCTGGTTTAGCTTTAGCCTGCTCCAAGGTGTTTATATAATCATGAAGAATGCAAATATACCCACAAAAAAGAGAGCGAGAGAAGGCAAGTCCTGGAAATTTATGGCCTGTTTTTCTTAAATTCTAATATCACCATTCACCAATCACCACACAAGGGAAAATTTGCCTTCCAGCATTTCTAGTCAAATGCCGAAGTGTTTTAAACTTTGATCAAATGGTCGTTTTCACCACTCCTAAATCTTAAACAAAGGAAGCATTAATGGATTTATATACACTGGTGGAGAATGTATATTCTTTCAGAAATATCATCGCATTTTTCAACTTGTTACTTACAAGCATACACTTTCCATCTTATAAAACCCTTTAGAAACTTAATAAACCACAAGATTCAAAAATATCTAATTTACATATTCTAATAAAACAGTTAATGGCCTTCGCAGCAATATCCACATACAAGCAAAAAATTAGTACTTTATACAAGTTCTTATAAGTTATAATTGGTGTTTCTTCAGCTAAAACCATTTCTTATATTGTGCAGAACCCAGGGCTAATTAACTGAGGCCAAGGGACGAACCCTAATTTACTGAAATATGGATGTCTGACCTCACGGGGTAAACTATGCATAACGTTTCACCTTTCACATCACAATTTGTCCCATTCACTTCTCAGACTCTGCTCCAACAGAGAGACTTCAAGAAGGACAATCCATTCGTAAAAAATCCTATTAACTATAGACTCAAAGACATATAAAATACAATGGTTTGGTGTTTCATGCATGAAAAGTAAGTAACGAAAATATGAAAGATCAAACACTGCATTAGCTACTTACAGCACAGGAAATTCTAAGGCGAATTGAGCTGGGCTGCAAGCTAAAGGAAACATTCTTCCTCCCAAAGCTGGAAACCAGAGCAGATCTCGGGCCAGAAATTGAGGTAAATGCCTGTTCAACAAATTCATCCACACGAAGCTCATTAAACAATTAAAAGATTAGTTAATCAATTAATAGAAGATAAAATAAAATAAAACGATACTAATGCTTTTTTTTTCTTCAGTTTTTCAAGTGAAAACTTTTAAGGAGCACTGACGAAGTGTGCAGAACAAAAACAAGTGTTATTGTCCAAAGTTTTCACTTGTAGAGTTATATAAACACGGAACCAATAAAAAATAGAAATTTTCTTGGCATGTAACTTACGAAACCCCAAATTTATTTTCCGAAAAAACAACTTAGGATTAAAATTGACAGAAATTAAAACGGAAAATAGAGTGCAATCAGTAATTAGTAAAAGTGGAAAAAAAAGGAAGATAAAAATAAGTGAAGATTGATTTATGAGGAATGCATCTAGGCTTTACAGTGTGGTAGAAAGAAAAAATAAATAAACATCTATGGAGCAGTCGGTAGTGAGGAATAAAAAGAGGGGCGAAAAATGCACAGATCAAGAAGCGAAGCGAAGTGCAGAGTAGTGGTTATGGTTGAAGAGTGTTTGAGGGAGGGAAAAAGATACCAGTGTTTGAGGAAGGAGGGATCGCATGGAGAGCGAGGTTCCAACGACTGCGTTGGTGGCCATGGTGGTGTGTGGCGAAGGTGCAAAGGCGCAGAAGAAAAATGGAGAAGAAAGAGAGAGGGTGGCGGAGAAGGCGAAGAGTGTGATGCGAGAATATATATAGCGACAAGTGCCTTGGACCCGGGATTGTTGGCTGCAGGAAAGAGTACTCTCTTCGGATTCGGAACCTCATAAAGTAGTTATTGGGTTGCACTCCACACCCCTACTGGATCATACACCCCACGTTAGCCCAATATTATATTTCCAAGCATTTAATTCCTGCACCTATCACACTACTACATACACCCACCATTTTTATTTATTATTGAATAGATAATATTTTACAATTTGGAGCAATGGTTGGTTTGGTAGAGCTATTGGGTTGATAAATCATTAGTTGTACCAATAAGTCACTAATAAAAATATAATTATATATGTTATTTATTTATTAATAATAATATAGTAACATAAAATTGTATGGCTCAACGATTACGTCTTGCTATTATGAAAATGTCAGAAAAAGAAGGGGTGTGAAAAGAAAAAAAGAATGTGAAACGAAAGGCCCAACAGAGATAAGCCCATTTAAGTCCAGTAGTCTCAAGTTTGATGTGTTGGTGCGGATCGGCGTTGAAGAGTGAGGCAAGGGAAGCAAGGACGATGAGTAAGACTAATCAGATTGAGAGTGTATAGCGATTGTGATTCTTTGGTTTCCATAGATTAGCGGGCGAGAAGAAGAGAGAAGATGGTGAGGGAAGTATCAGAGAGTTGCGTAGATAGCTTGCTGACGGAGATGGTGGCGTGCTATTGCAATCGATTCTATGCTAACAAACCTGAACTCGCAGCACGCAGGATCGAGGCCATTGGATATCAGGTCGGTCACCAGCTCTCTGAAAGGTTGTTTCCGAGCCCCAACATGAACGAATTCCTATTTCATTTAGATCTCTCTTTTGCTTCATTTAGATTAAATTTCTTCGGAGAGATAGATCTGTGCTGAAAAATCGTGACAGTTAAACTGAGTTTAGTTAGTTTATGGAGTTATACGAATAAGCCCCAAATTCTTTAGGCTTGTCACATGCTTTTTTGATAAACCTTTAAATGTTGATTGTTTTTGGGTGGGTTAACTTATTATTGTTTGTAGGAATTCTACATTAAGGCTTTCTGAGGGGAATTATCATGAATTAGTGAAAATGTGGTGTTGTTAGGTATACCATGGAGCGGCCTCGGTTCACGGATCATCTGGAGGCCATCAAGTTCATTTGCAAGGATTTCTGGTCTGAGCTCTTTAAGAAGCAGATAGACAACTTGAAGACAAATCATAGGGTGAGTTCAGAGTTGAAGACAATCGGCGCATACATACATATTTATTGTATAGTTTTTGACTGGATGTATATGGTTCTGTTGCAGGGTACATTTGTGTTGCAAGATAATAAATTTCGTTGGCTTGCACGGATGTCGGTTGATCCGTCCATTGATAATGCTAGTTCAGTTGAAGATAATTCTGCACCTACACCTGAAAACAAGGCAGCACAAGCAATGAGCATGCATCTTTATTTCCCGTGTGGGATTATTAGAGGAGCTCTTTCCAACTTGGGAATTCCTTGTGCAGTTTCTGCAGATATATCAAACCTTCCTGCATGTGTGTATTTCTCTATCTCTATTTCTGTCTCGCACAAATTACAGAAGTCTTTTTAGGGGAGAAGAGTTCATTTTTCATTATGAATGTTTTCTGGATGCACAAATTGTTTATCCTTCTAAGTCAGGTAAAGATCCATAATAATCATTTGTGTGCAATCCCGAGGCTATAATGGTGCAGCGTCATGTTCTGGCATCTGGCTTCTATCTATATTTTTCAGATTGCAGAGAGCTTTCCATTCGCACTTCGCAGAAGTTATGGACACAGCTTTTAACGGGGTTAAAAATCTTTTTTTGTTACCTCTGCATGTCTAATGTGTGTTTTTGGTGCAATGTGCAATTTTGTCCCCGTTCATTTAGTCAAAGGGTTTGAAACCCAGTTTCATGTTCAGAACTGGAAATATGTGTCTCTGCCTGCTGTTTGGATGAAGCCCATCTGGCTCACCGCTATTTGCCATAGTCTCTGGCCAAGCAGTCCTTTCCAGCCTTATCTTTGTTTTTCCAACCTGCTCTGTTTTCTGTATAGACTGTTTCCAAACCAGTCATATATATAAGAACTTTTTCTTTTTTCAAAAAAATTGCATAATTATTACAATTTTTAAAACGCATCTTTTAATTAAAAATGGACTTCTGTTTTCTTTTTTCCAAAACAATCAAACAGAAGGGCCCTCTATGTATTCAGTTTTTCCCTCATGAGTGGAGACTTGAGAGGTTCATGTACCTGTTTCTATGATTAAAACCTGCAATTCACTAGGTCACTAGACGTTAAGACTACATCTTTACTGTTGTATCAAAGCTCACCCTCCTGCTACAGAAAAAACCAAGTCTGAATTTTTGTTTAACCTTTTAGTTTATCAAGGTTCTGAGCAATGATGATGATGATCTTGTCATTTTTTTCTTCAAATTATTGTGATCTGTAGACCTTTCTGCTATGGAATAAAATTATTAAAAGATGTTGATGATAAAGTGGAACGCTTCAATTCTAATAGACCCTGCAATTATTGCCTCAGCTTAGGAAGTTTAAGTTGTGCATTTGTTTCTAGAAAATTTTGTTAATTTGGAATTACTTAATCTGTATTAATTTAAGACAATTTAAACAAGATTGTCTGTCCCCATACCTGTAGAATGTAGAATATAAACATTTCAAGGTTAATTTGTTTTTGCTTCCCATGTCTGTATCTATTAAAGCTTCTCATTATTGGGTAATCATATTAGGATTTAGCTTGATCTGAAATTTCAACATCATTTCCTAGAATCAGTCTAAATCTGGGATAAATGATGCTGTCATTGTTTTATAAATGAAGCCTTTTTCTCCTCATTTAAAAATGATAAACTATCATCATTGCAGCATGTAATTTCCTTTGTGGTGTGCCAACATGCAGTTCTAAGTATCTTTGTGTTTGTTTGATGTGTAGTTGCCAACTAATGTGTTGGAAATAATGATTCTTAATGTATTTAGGAAATAGTTGGTGCATGTGTCATAGGATAAAATGCATTTAGTACTTGTGGGTAATACTGGCTAGGAAGTTGCACTCAAATAACATCAGCCTAGGAAATAGTCTCCACTAAGTCTATTTAGAACCTATATATATGGATATCTTGAATAACCTATGACACACGATATCTTGAATAATAAAGCATTCCCATTCTCATTCTGAATTTCTCTAATTTATCTCCTTCAATTGCCCTCTAAATTCAACAATATGTTTGTGTATAAAAATTTGTCTTCTCTGTATTAGTTGCTCTGATCAATCTCCTTTTTACATCATTGAGCAGGTTCATTTGTGGTCCGTATAAAAGCTTGATGAGTTCATAATTATATTACTGAAGGGAGGGGAAGCCTTAACATCGTTCAAACAATGCTTTGATGTCTGCGAGCGCTTCTGTCATAAAATGCTCCCTTGGGAAATGTTTCTTTACCAGATTTAAACTATATCAAATGTTATTGACTTGGTTGTGTAGAAAGGGCTCCTGAGATAGTATTTTGATAAATGAGAATTTGGTTCTTTCAGATGCAGATTCTACGGAGAGTACACGATAATATCGAATTATTGTGCTGTGTGGAATGACACCGAGAATATCAGTCATCGTAATTTGTTGCTCTTTGTATGGAATGGATGTTAGCCTTATAAGTTGTATAACTTTTTTTATTTCCAATTTGCTTGAGCGTGGCTTCTTTTTAGGACTAGCTTAAATTGATCAGTTATAAATATTTGATTACGAGGAATTTGATCTAATTTTTTTGCCATATTCTATTCGAACCTAAATCACTTCTGAGATTTCGGACTTGCCAGTTAGTGAGAGTGAGTTTTGTATGCACCGGCTTATGAAATTCTAGACGGGGATCCGTCTTATTCAGTGTTATTGGTCATCAATGCTACTGCCACGTTACCTTTATGCAAATAAATAATAATATTTCCATCTTCATGTTCTAGAAAAAAAGAAGAAAAAAAAAAGGTGAAACAAACACTTTCTTGTTCTAAAATTCAGTATTAGATTTGTCTCAGACTGATCGGTTGATCCGGGAACTAACCACATTGAATCGGATGTTTATGAACTGGTGTTGATCGATCGGTTTAATTCAAACGAGATTGTTAAAAACCGGTGACCCGGGGTGACCAGCTGGGTCATGTTCGTTAATAAGTTAATTTTGTAAGAAGTTTTTTAATCGCTTTAAGCTACTTTGTAAGAAATAAATTATAAATAATAAAGATCAAATTTAAATTCTCGCGCTCAAATATCAGCACAGGATTGATTTAAGTAGTTCTTGTAAGTTGTAAGGAATCTTTTGAGATAGCAAGATTTTCTTCTTTTTTTTCGTACATGTGAAGTATTCTATTTTTTTTATTATTAAGAAAAGTGAAGTATTATTATTATAAGAAGAATGAGCGTCTTAAAGTGGTACTTTAATTTGATAGAACATATCAGAGAATTTTTTACTGTATTAATATTTTTTTAAAAAAAAAATTATTAAAATAGAACTCTGGACATAATATCTACCTAACTAGCACCGATTATTATTCAAGGTCATAATTCAGTTCTCGGAGAACCGAATTCTTACTTTCCCCCTGTGTGCTCCTCCAGCGTCGTGGGCTGTGAGAATTCGATTTCCAGA